ATCAGATAGATTCACAAGTGTGTTCTACCAGTCATTTAAAGAAGAGGTGTGGTGCCTGGGTGGCTCAGTCAGTTAAGCATCTGACTCTTGTTTCTGGCTCAGGTCATGATCTTAGGTCATGAGATTGAGCCCCATATCAGGTTCCATGCTGGACATGGAGCCTGCTTAAGATTCTTTTTCTCTCCCTCTTTCCCTGCCCCTTCCTCCCTGCTCTCTCTCTCTCTCTTTCAAAAAAAAAAAAAAAGAGTTAATACCTATTTTCCTCAAACTATTCAAAAAGCTTGAAGAGGAAGGAAAGCCTCTAAGCACATTCTACAAGGCCAGCATTACCCTGATACCAAAACCAGGCAAAGACACCATGAAAAAAAGAAAACTACAGGCCAGTATCCCTGATGAACATAGATACAAAAATTCTCAATGAAATATTAGCAAACTTCATACAACAATACATTAAAAAGATCATTCACCATAATCAGGTGGGATTTATTCCTGGGATGCAAGGATGGTTCAATATTCACAAATCAATCAAGGTCATATACCACATCAACAAAACAAATGATAAAAATTGTATGATCATCTCAATAGATGCAGAAAAAGCATTTGATAAGATTCAATATTCATGATAAAAACTCTCAACAAAATGGGGTTAGAGGGAATGTACCTCAACATAATAAAGGCCACATATGAAAAACCCACAGCTAACATCAACCTCAATGGTGAAAAACTGAGAACTTTCCCTCTAGGGTCAGAAACCAAGACAAAGATGTCCAGTCTCACCACTTTTATTCAACATAGTACTAGAAGTCCTAGCCACAGCAATCAGACAAGAAAAAGAAATAAGAGGCATCCAAATTGGTAAAGAAGTTAAACTGTCACCAATCACAGATGACAATATACTATACATGGAAAAATCCTAAAGATTCCACCAAAAAGCTATTAGAAATAATAAACAAATTCAGTAAAGTGGCAGGATACAAAATTAATACCCAGAAATCAGTAGCATTTCTATACACTAACGATGAAGTTGCAAAATGAGAAATTTAAAAACCTAACCATTTACAATTGCATCAAAAAGAATAAAATCCCTAAGAATAAACTTAACCAAAGAGGTGAAAGAACTATGCTTTGAAAACTATAAAGCACTGATGAAAGAAATTGAAGATGACACAAACAAATGGAAAGATATTTCATGCTCATGGATTGGAATAATTAATTGCTGAGTCCAGCTCCAGCCGGGGTGGGTCTCTTGTGGGAAAGGACGGCGTCGGCAAATGAGGAGACACAGACACAGGATCGGGTTGCAAGCATCTCCTCCTGGCAGCCTCGGAGGAACTTTATTTATATGTTAGGATATTTTTGTTTTTCCAAATCTTAGATCATTTTCTGGATTACAGCCATAGCCTTCTTTCATTTTTCCTTTGTAATGATTAACATGACCTTTATTGATTTCTGCTTATTGGCTTTCGCTAAAACTAAAAAACAGTATGCAAAGAGAAAGGTGCTAGACAGAGCGTGACCATCTTATTTTGTTCTATAGAAACTAATTCTTCGTGGAATTAGCTTCATTATGATTGCTTAGATAGGTGTAACTAAGATGAGTAGTCACTTTATCATGAAACCCCAGAAATATTCCCACAATTATAAAGATTGCCATAAATAAAATGAAAAAGAATAGCAGGAGCCAGCTGTGGAGTCTCGTGTTTTCAGGATCGTCCCCCATACTTGGACTTTGTCAAACAGCATGAGTAGCTTGGCTCGCGCCAATTAATAGTGTCAGAATGTCTGATTATCCAAAGAAATCTACAGATTCAATGCAATCCCTATCAAAATACCTACAACATTTTTTGCAAAACTAGAACAAGTTATATGAAAATTTGTATGGAACCACAAAAGACCCCAAGTGGCCAAAGCAATCCTGAGAAAGATCAAAGCTGGAGGTATCACAATTCCAGATTTCAAGATATATTACGAAGTTGTAGTAATCAAAACTGCATGGTACTGGCACAAAAGTAGGCACAGAGGTCAATGGAACAGGATAGAGACCTCACATTTATTTATTTATTTATATATTTATTTATTAAAGATTTTATTTATTTGACAGAGAGAGACACAGTGAGAGAGGGGAACACAAGCAGGGGGAGTGGGAGAGGGAGAAGCAGGCTTCCCGCCGAGCAGGGAACCCAATGCGGGGCTTGATCCCAGAACCCTGGGATCAGGGCCTGAGCCGAAGGCAGACACTTAACAACTGAGCCACCCAGGCACCCCGAGACCCCACATTTATATGGTCAATTAGTCTATGGCAAAGGAGGCAAGAATATACAATGGGGGGATGCCTGGGTGGCTCAGTCAGTTAAGTGCCTGCCTTTGGCTCAGGTCATGATCCCAGGGTCCTGGGATCGAGTCCTGTATCAGGCTTCTTGCTCAGCGGGGAGACTGCTTCTCCCTCTGCCTGCCACTCCCCCTGCTTGTGCTCTCTCTCTCTCTGACAAATAAATAAATAAAATCTTAAATTAAAAAAAGAATATACAATGGGGTAAAGGTAGTCTTTTCAATAAATGGTGCTAGGAACACTGAACAGCTACATGTAAAAGAATGAAACTGGACTACTTTTTAACACTGTACACAGAAACAACTCAAAATGGATTAAAGACCTAAATGTGAGACCTGAAACCATAAAAATCCTAGAAGAGAACACAGGCAGTGATTTCTCTGACATCAGCCATGGCAACATTTTTCTAGGTATGTCTCCTAAGGCAAAGGAAACAAAAGCAAAAATAAACTATTGAGACTACATCAAAATAAAAAGCTTTTGCATAGCAAAGGAAACCATTAACAAAACAAAAAGACAACCTACTGAATGGGAGATACTTGCAAATGATATATCCAAAAAGGGGTTAATATCCAAAATATATAAAGAACTCATACAACACAACACCAAAAAAGACCAATCTGTTTTTAAAAATATGTTTAAAAAATATTCAGATCAAAGGCTCTGAATAGACATTTTCCCAAAGAAGACATACAGATGGCCAAGAGACACATGAAAAGATGCTCAACATCACTGATCATTATGAAAATGCAAATTAAAAAAACCACAATGAGCTATCAACTCACACCTGTTAGAATGGCTAAAATCAAGAAGACAAAAACAAGTGTTAGCAAGGATGTGGAGCAAAAGGAACCCTTGTGCACTGTTGATGAGAATACAAATTGGTACAGCCACTGTGGAAAACAGTATGAAGTTTACTCAAAACATTAAAAATAGAAATGCCGGGGGGGTGCCTGGGTGGCTCAGTCGTTAAGCGCCTGCCTTCGGCTCAGGTCATGATCCCGGGGTGCTGGGATCGAGCCCCGCATCGGGCTCCCTGCTCGGCGGGAAGCCTGCTTCTCCCTCTCCCACTCCCCCTGCTTGTGTTCCCTCTCTCATTGTGTCTCTCTCTGTCAAATAAATAAATAAAATCTTTAAAATAAATAAATAAATAAAAAATAAAAATAGAAATGCCATATGATCCAATAATTCTACTGTTGGGTATTCACCAAGGCAAAATAAAACACTGACTTGAAAAGATAGATGCATCCCTATGTTTACTGCAGCTTTCCTTACAGTAGCCAAGACATGCAAGCAACCTAAGTGTCCATCAGTGGATGAATGGTTAAGGGAAATGTAGTACACATATATAACGGAATATTGCACAGCCATAAAAAGGATGAGGTTGTCCCATTTGAGACACTTAGCAAGCACTTAGAGGGTGTTAAGCTGAGTGAAATAAGTCAGACTGAGAAAGACAAATACTATATGATTCCACTTATATGTGTAATCTAAAAAAAAAAATGAATAAACAAAAATCAGAATCAAACCTATAAATCCAGAGAACAAACATATGGTTGTCAGAAGGGCAGCGGGGGGCGAGGGGGGGGTGTTGTGGGTGGGAAAAATGGGTGAAGGGGAGAGGGAGATACAGGCTTCCAGTTATGGAATGAGTAAGTCATGGGACTGAAAAGCAGAGAATAAGGAGTACAGTCAGTGATATTATAATAGGGATGTAATGGGATACATGGTAGCTATACTTGTGAACATAGCATAATGTATAAACTTGTCAAATCACTAAGTTGTACACCTGAAACTAATGTAACATTGTGTGTCAATTAGACTAAAAAAAAAAATAAGGTGCCATTGGTTTTGCTAATTAGAGAAAAACCATTGACTTTGTAAAAAATATGTAATGCTTAGGTATTTTAAAGTTTGTTTTAAAAATCCAGTGAAACGTAGCTTCAACTTCAAGCTGAAGAAAATTTTCTTCATAGTTTTTTTAGCCATTATACAACTGGGAAAGGCAAGCAGAGAATGCCTTCTTTGTGTCATGCTAGAATAATGGAGAAAGCCACAGACCTTGGGCAAATTACTCCTGTAAGTGTGTTGAGAAGTCTGCATTTAATTAAGAGTTGATGGAGTGAGCAGCACTATTCTCATAGCAGGGGTGATTTAAAAAATTACACCTTGTGAAAACATTACATGAAAGAAAAATTTTAGTTTTAGTTTTTGTTAAAGTAAAATTTTGCTGACTTTCTATCAGAAGGATGTAAGAAAGCAGGGCCGCAACTTCTCCTTTGAATAGTCTTCCAGTAGTGGTGCCTTTTTAACAATATTTAAAACTTGATATGTTGACATGACTGTTAAGACTGTTATAAAAACACTTGTGAGGAAGCAGCATGAAAGCAAGAGTGACAGACTTACACAGAGGGAAATGAAGTATAATCCCCTGTTAGAAGCTCATTTCTGCATTAGCCTCAACAGGCTCGCGTCATTGTTAGAATATGGTTAGGCTGCTGCTTTCCATGTACTTTTACATCCAGGCTTCAGTGGGCTTTATAAATATACACATCAGAACAAAAGCACCTTTAAGAATCTTACTAAATAAATGTAATTTGTCCCAGCTGCCTGTATAATGGGACATCCAAATCCAATAATTTTTCATGGACTTTTCTTTCTTTTCTCTTAGGATTGTGCAAGAACTGGCTTCTGGCTCAGGTCCACCCTAGTCACTACAGAAATGCTAACTATGCAAGCTCTTATGAACGTTTTCAGGAGGGTAACTTCACTGGCTCCTTTGTGCCAAGCTTGGCCATCAGCACCTTCACTGTGTGAGGTAAGGATACTCTACAGCACATTATTCTACTGCATTAATTTAATGAAATTATACTAATGGACCTAGTAAGCAGGAACTATCAAGTACCTACCTGGCTTCCTAAGACATACACGTGCCAGAGGGTAAGAGATTTCAAGGATCTGTAACTAGGTGAAGTTTTCTAGGTATCCAGGCATCTTAGGTATATTGGGACTATCCCTTCTAAACTGAGAAATAAGTTTCTGCATCTTGCATGCCCACCACAAAGTATGAGCACAACATTTTGTGAGTCTCCTTGGATCTGGGAGGCTGCATATATAACAGATAGGGATACTGGTGCTACCATTTGTTGGAAGACCTATAAGGCTGCCAGTTTTGGAGCTTGGATCAAAAAAAGCAACAAAGGCTAAAGGCTCTCTGGCAAGTCTACACTGTTCACACTAATGACCTATTAGATCCACTGGTGTTAAGCACTTGTTTCAGAGATATTGTACAGAGATTCTGACAAGCTCACAGTGTAGGCCCTTAGGTGTTTGGAAACCTTCTGACAGCTATTCTCCACTTGAAAAACACCTTTAGCTTGCTATTTGGCCTGGCAAAAACTGTACATCCAACCTTTGAATATAAGTGAAGATGTGACCCAAACTGCTCATTATGAACTGGGTGATGTATAATTGCTTGCACCATAAATTGTAGACATGTGCACACCATTCCAGTATAAATGAAAATGGTATATATGAGACAGGGTCTAGGAGAGTCAGAAGGCAAAATAAATCACATGAACAAGTGGCTGAGTCCATGCGTAGACTCCCATTGCAGCTGCCCTTACTGCTTTCCTGCGTTTTCCGCAGACTATGCCTACAGTCTCATGGGGGAGTTCTCCATGACCAGATGACAGAAGAGGAAAAGGAATGGGCCTGGTTTATGAACAGAGAGCATGTGGGCATTACACAGAAATGGATAGCTATAATGGATTACAGCCTCACTTAAGGGTAGCCCTGAAAGACGATGAGAGAAAATTTTCTCAGTGGGCAGAACTTTGGGCAGTCATCTGGCTATCCATTTAAGGTAGAAGGAGAGATAATCTGAAGAATTAATTTACATAAACTGCATAGGTCAGCAGTTAAGGCTTTGGAATGGAAAAATAGGAAGAGTGATGGCAAGGTCTGGGGGAGAGGTATGTGGATGGGCCAACCAGGATGTACACAGGGTAGAAAGATACGTGTGTTCCATGTAGATGCCCATTAGAGGGTATCCCAATGGTGAAGAAATGCTTTCAATAATTAAATGGATAAGATTATTCCCCCTAAGGATGTCTGTCAGCCTCTTCTCCTTGCCATTCATATAACTGGTCAATGGAGGTATATAAAGCGGGCATGGTGGCTATGCATGGACTCACCAACATGGCACACTCTCATCAAGGCTAATTCATCTACACTATGACTGTGGATGCTATACTCTGCTATCACTCTGCCTATAGCAGAGACCATTGCTGAGCTCTCGATATGACACCATTCATGATATTCAGGTCAGTCTCCTGGAACTGTTGAATGGCATCTGAAGGCTTACTTTTGGCACCATCAGGAGATAAAACCTATGAGGACAGAGTGTTACCTACAGGATGTAGTGCCAATATAAGCCATCTTCCCTAGTACTGGAAACCACTTACGCAGGAGCCAAGGGCTGGAATTGAGAATGGACTTCCCAACTATTATACCAAATATGTATTTGGGGGACTTTTTTTTTTTTTTTATCCATGCAAACTTGGTCTCAGTGAATTTATAGTACCGGAGTGTGGAATCCATCCACTAGGGAATTCAATAAGAGTTCCATTGCCTTAGAAACAGAAACTGCCCACTGGCAGTTTTAGGGTAATGGAGCAATAGACAGAGAAGAGGTTATTGTACTGGCTGTGATGATGATCTTGATTACTCACGGGAAATTGAGTTACTGCTGTACAGAACACAAGTGGGGCTCTTAGCTACTTAGGACTCTATTATTCCAATGGAAAACCCTGGCTACACAATAAAGATGGGGCCATCAAAGGACTCAGCTCCTACAAGACTACAGATTTGACTCAGGCAACCAGGTTGAGAAGCTATCCAACTAATGTGCTTTGGGAGAACAAGGAAAATATGGAATAAGAATTGGAAGGAAGTCACTATGGTGACAACTTAGGCCTACTAACCCCCTACAGAAGCAGAGATTGTAGCAACTTTGTCTTATGACAATTGCTTCTCTTCCCCATGTCTCCTCCCACTTCTTTTATGAAGAATATTGCTGGTGGTTAACAGTTTAGGTTGCAGGTGGTGATATGACCAAACTGACTGTGATGACATGGTTGCTGATTGGGAAGAGAAATTTTTCACCTAGGCAAAGAATGAGAGTGGATGCTGAGAGGCAAAAGAGTGAAGTGTGCTGGATCCTTTCTGCTGCTTCTCTGGCTCCTTTCTCCACTCTTCCTATTATTCTCTGTGCAGATCTTCATCAGTGGACTTCTTTGCCTCCCGGTTGGGTTCAGCCAATGGGGGTGCAGAGGAGAGTGCCATTGTGCCTCCTCTCCTTCACAGGGCTGCAGGTTGTCTGTATCAGTTTCCTGAATTTCAATTGGCATTCTCCACATAAATACTTTCTCTGAGTTTGGATAGTTACTCCCTTCAGGTTTAGATTGTAATGCGTCCCCTCTTTTAGTAGCCCATGGGTACTAAACTATTTCTGGTTTGTTTCCTAAAATCTGTGGCTCACTCGTTAAAGCATCTGCCTTTGGCTCAGGTCATGATCCCAGGGTTCTGGGATCAAGTCCCACATCAGGCTCCTTGCTCAGCAGGGAGCCTCTTCTTTCTCTACCTGCTGTCCCCCCCCCGCCCCCGCTTGTGCTCTCTCTCTCTCTCTGTGTCAAATAAGTCAATAAAATATTTAAAAAAAAATAAAATCTACTTAGGGCAAATAGTTTTTTTTTTTTTTAAAGACTTTATTTATTTATTGAGAGAGAGCACAAGCTGGGGGGAGGGGCAGAGAGTGAGGGAGAAGCAGGCTCCCCACTGAGCAAGGAGCCTGAAGCGGGGCTCAGTCCCAGAACCCTGGAATCCTGACCTGAGCCAAAGGCAGACGCTTAACTGACTGAGCCACCCAGGCACGCTGGCAAATAGTTTCTTTTAAAAATTCTCCTCAAATTTCCTGTCTGAGTGTGGTCTGATTCACATACATTTCATTTGATTTTACAACTATTCTGTGATATAAATTGGGTAGATCCTGTTGCTTCTATGTTTGGAATGTTCCAGTGACTTTTCATTATACTTTGAATAAAACCCAAAAAGCATGGTTCACAAAGCCATACTTGATCTGGTTTCTGCCTCCTTCTCCAAACTGATCTCTTATCTCTACCCACAATCCCCACCCATTGCACTCAGCCACTTTAAGACCCCTCACTGCTCTTTCTCCTGAGATCTCATCACAAAGATCTGCCTGCCTATAATTCAAATTTCAGTTTAAATGTCACCTCTTCAGAGAGTCTCTCCCTTGTCTTTCCCATTCAATAAAAGTAGTCATCCAAATACTATCACATCATCCTATATTAACTCTTCTCATAGAACTTATCACTTACTGATATTTCCTTGTTTATTTTTATACCTAAAATCTTTCTCTCCCTACCTCCCTCTGACCTTCCTTCCCTCCTTCCTAGAATGTAAATTTTCTGATATTTCTTGATACTGAATAAAAAGCAGGATTAACTCCATTGTATCAATAAATTCCTCAAGGTCTCACAGTAATGAAGGGCAGAATCAGCATCTGTGACTTCTGATATCCATATACCGGGGTCCATTCTCCATCTGGTTTACTGAATTTTTTTTTTTAATTTTATTTATTTATTTGACAAAGAGAGACAGCAAGAGAAGGAACACAAGCAGAGGGAGAGGGAGAGGGAGAAGCAGGCTTCCCGCTGAGCAAGGAGCCCAATGCAGGGCTCGATCCCAGCACCCCAGGATCAGGACCTGAGCCGAAGGCAGACGCGTAATGACTGAGCCACCCAGGCGGCCCTGGTTTACTGAATATTAATGGAGCACCTGACTGGCTCAATCAGTAGAGCATGTGACTCAATCTCAGGGTTGTGAGCTTGAGCTCTTCATTAGGTATAGAGATTACTTTAAAATAAAATCTAAAAAACAAACAAACAAATAAAATGTCGTGGGAGATAGAATGGCATGAGGGAGGGGGTAGTGAGTACAGCTTGAATTTTTGTCAGACCCAAAACTCCTGGAAAAATAATGCTGGGCCTCCTAACTTCTTAACCCATTTCCGGTTTGGAAATGAATTATTTCCTGATATTACATTACCATTCCCCCCCACCCCCCCAAATTCCACTGAACAATTCAGTAAGATGTTGGAAGTGTTTCATGATTTAATGGCCAAAATAACTTTTTTAAATGCTGAGTTAAGCATGTCTCTTTACTGTAGGAATTCCCAGAGCACTTAAAATGTACATTGTGAGTTTCCAGGAGGCAGATGTACTATGCAAAGCTACCTAAACTGATTAGGATGGAAAATACTTTTTTGAGAATTCTATTAACATCTCATAGAACACGTATTTCCTGGAACACAGTGGGTAAATATTTAGTTAAGTCTTTAGTAATAGGCATCATGTTAACAGAACAATTTTATTACAATGATAAATTTATTAATGGATTATTTTGTGTGTGGGAAAGGAAGAGTAAGTCTGTATTGGCATCTTCTCAATTTGTTCTTATGTATGGCTTACTCAGTTTTGTGCAAGTCTTATTCTTTTTTTCAAGTATGAGGCTGCCAATTTTTTATTTCTCTGGTCAAACCACATATTATTTCTGACAGTCTGACTATTCTGGTGGAAGTGTTGAAACAATTTAAGCCTATTACAGTGTCTTCTGTCTAGGTCCAGACAATTTTTAAAGGAGTCTGATAGTCGTAACTTCCCCTACGGTGCACTGCTGTAGTGTGTAGCCCATTCTGCTAAAATAAAGAGTAATATAAAAAAATATAAAAACGAG